TCTCAGTTTGCAAAAAGTCCTGAGAATATCCTCCTTCTGTAATTTCACCCCCATCATATTTATACCAAGCTTCCATCCACATATCTATTAGAAAAAGAAATTATGTTTTCTGACTCCAGGAAACTAGAAGATATAGAATCAGCATTAGCAGAACATTGGCTGCTAATATTACTTAATGCTTTTATCCGGAAGCTTCGGTACAATAGAGGTCAACTGGAATTAGAGATGGATGGAAGATCTTGCATGAATAATAAAGAGACAAACATGTCCCCTGAAACAGTCAACAACTGAGAGTGTTATTGCCAGAAACAAAGGAAACTCCTGTAACTAATTTGAAAAGCATCTTTCATAAATAGATGCTACAGTGGATATATATATATTTAAAAGATTACATTTCAGAGAAAAATGTTACTTGAGTTATATTCGTAAATCAATTAACACTCCTGACTTGAAGACATCCATGAAAGTAATATGTGGGTTATAGTATTTTAAGTGGGAATAAAATATGATTCAATTTTCCCATAACTAGACAAAATATATAAACAAGGATTTTACCACAGGAAGATTTTTACTAAGTTTACTGTCAAAAGACTGCCTAACACTCTTACTCCTCTCCCCAGGAATTGCATTTACAAGAGACTTGCTATAATAAGAGAACATTACCAATAGCATTTTTTGATATATTTAAAATACAGAGAGATACTGTCACCACTGCTTTAAATCAGTATTTTTTTCTTTTTCCTGAACTTCCAGAATGGTTCTACTGTCTTATCATGTTGCAGATGAAACAGTTATTTTGGCAACCTGCCAAACGCTTTCTGTTTGAAACTTAATATCTCTCCAACTGGTAATAGAAGTAACTGTTTGACCTCTTCCCTGTGTGGATTTTTTTCTTTTCCTGTTTGTGCACAACTTATTCATAAAGATGTCATGGTTAAGTATGTCCCACCTGAGAAACTTCTACACCTTTCTGTTTTCTCCCTATGAATCTCTGAATGTTAAGAACCCATACAGGATTGTCAAAACTTCTGCAAAACTTTGTTTCAAAAACTGAGTTAAAACTAATGCCATAAACCAAACTTCCCTGATCACCAATTTCGCGGTACATAACAACTTCAGAACATTCTCCTTCTCTCTCTAGCAATGCATTTATTGCCATGTACTGAGACAAGCACATGTACATCCAGATGTACACTGACACTAGGTACCCTAACAGCAACAATTCCGCCACAGAAGGTGAACATACTACTACTGCTAAAGAAATTGTTTTGAGAGAAATGTCTGATAAAGTGTAGGTTTATGTAGACATCCAGGAATGGCTGAATTCCACTATCATGTTCTTCAACTGTGAAATGTATAATTCTTTTCTGCCTCATAAAAGGAAATAGCCCAGAGGAGAACTGATAGAGGAGAATGCCCAGAATATACATCTGTCTTATTCTCCTCCCAATGCACAGAAAATGTGGTACTGTCTTATCTCACGCAGCTGTTGTTATGTCCATATAACTTGAATCTTCAAATGGATCCATTACTAAAAAAAACACCAAATAATTGCAGAGATTTGAACAGTTATGAAGTGAATAATTTTTCTTATATGAAAAGTGAAAGAACAAATATGGTAAAGACCTGCAAAAGATCTCCTTACCAATAGAATCTCCATATAGCAAGATAAGAAAAACTTAAGCATCCTACCACAGTGTTCTCAGTACCTGACACAGGCTTGGTCCAGTACACTAAGGCAATAGTAAAGATTCATTTATGGTATATGAAATTGTCTTACCTCTGTTTAGGTCTTTGCTGTATGGAAAAAGGAGTAAGGCAAACCTAATGGTTTGCAGTGGTATAACTAGAGCCATGGCACAGTAGTACTATTAAGATAACATAAGCAGATAAGAATAAATAAATCACAAACATTGCCCTTATAGCTGCTGCTAAAGGCCTGTGTTCAGGTAAACTTGACAAAGTTACTGAAGCTAGAATGGATGGCTATGAAAAAAAGAGTTAACAAAGCACATCAAGAAATTAAAGTAGCTGGAAATGAAAGCTGTTATGAATATGTTAAATGACCCTCACATGCCAGAAAGTAAATTCTGCCCAACCCTGGAGTGCTACCAGAATGCATGGTCACACCAGTGATTTGGACTTTCAGATAGAAGCAGTGAAGGTGGCTGTTACACCTGAGTATGAAAGGTAATATCAATAAGCTCATGATAGAAAACACAAAGATATGGACAGGAACAAACTGCTCTAGGCAAACACAAATGGCTCAGATGAATAAAAGGACTGTGCACCTTTTAGACTAGCTGTCCACTTTTCCCGATTATATAAGTGCATCTAATAAAAAATACCCATTTCCAGAAGGATTTGGGTTCTCCTACATCCAGTAACTATTACGACTGAAAAACTTCCACAGAAGACTGTTAAGAATTCTATTTTCTGCATTAACAGAAGTAACAATTTCACTCCAAGTAAGCTCAGAAGTCAAGGTTCCTCCTGGATTTCAGAAAATATTCTGTATGGCCAGTATATTATTTCTGACACAACTTGGAAAAGAGAACAATGAAACCCAAAATATATGAAGAAATACAGAACTGGCATGGAGCACTCAATTTCCAGCCTACTCAGAGATCAAAAGGCCAAGTTTTACAGCTAATAGGAGAATCCATGGGAAGCAGAAAGTGGGGCTGCAACTGCTACACAAACTGTATGCTACACAAACCTTGATTGGTTCACCTTCCCTAGGGAGAAAAAAAAATAAGCAAAGGCAGAAATGGGGCAGTCAATCATGCAGGGATTTATTTCAAGATGTGGCATTTTCTCTGCTTTCAGATACTTCCTCTGAACCTTGAATAATGTCATCTCCTTCTGATTACCCTCTTCACAGTATTAAGAGCAGTCCACAGCTTTCAGATTGATAGAGTTATGCAAAATGTAGTGAGTGCTAAACTAGATCATTAATTCTACTGGTTAAACAGAACAAACTTCTCCCTCTATCCTGTTGGGCTTTCTGCAGTGGGAATGAAAACCACACACAAAAAACCCAAACAACTGACAACTAAAGCTATTAGTCTATTAAAATGTGAAAAGAGATAGTTTTAGGTGTTGCTTTTGCATCCACCATTTTCAAACCAGAAAAATGTTAAATGCATCTGAACATCATGATGGACAAAATTTAACAGAGCAAATAAATGCTGCAAGCAAAATGAAATAGGAAAACTCAAGGTATTTCTTCAATGGCAATACACCAGAACTAAAAAGGAGGCTGTGACAGCTTTTCAATGGTCTGGAGGTTTTGTACAGTCATTCATCACCACAGTACCTGCTCCATTACATTTTGTTCAAGGATTATTTGCATATATCTAATGCAAATAATGGGGCAAGCATATATCACTCTTGTTCATCTATATGTTGGGTAGGTGTTTGGATCCAGAAGTTTCAGGCAATTATTCACCATTTAAAGTTGTCCTCAGTTACTATTGTGGAGATCCAAAGAAAGATAACTCTTACTGGTATGGTTAAACACTGAGTGTTTGCCAGAAACCCATGGGAATTATAACCTGAGCAGCAGCTACTCCTTTTTTACACAACTTACATGGAACAAATTACTTTTCCAGATACAGAAAAAAAAATTTTCTATTTAAAGCATATACTTTTGTCTTTAGCTATTGATGTATTACTGATGGGACTCAGCGTCACCCATAAAATCATTAAGTTAAATTGAAGTCCATTACAACATTATTTTACTAAGCTATTTTCGATGCACTGTAGATCTTCCTATTTTTCAGAACATTTAAATGAAATATTTAACCTTAGTAAGTTACATATTGCTAACCACAAAGCACTGAAACATGCTTTTGCGGACCTGCACTGCATTTCTATTTGGCAGAGAGTAAAATGAATTTGTCCACAGTCTGTCAGTAATCTATGCTCATCCACTTCTCACTACAGGTTGGAAGAAGTTCTGGTACAGCAATGGTTCTAGCAAGTGTGCTATACACTGGAAAATGTTTTTCATTAATACCTTAATTTTATATAAATGGTGCATGTGCAGTACTTGAACCATATACAATTCCATAAAATTGAATGAAACAGTTATCTTGAGCTGGAGCCCACTGGGAGCATTGGCTCTGAAACATGAGACCACCTCTGGTACAGTACAAATACTGTTGCCCTCTCCTGAATTGCCTTTTCTGTAGTCCTTCTCCTAGGCCAACCTTGTCCATGCAGGTGGCAATCATCTGAGAGCAAGCTTCAGCAGCTTTAGGTCTAAATCATATAGGGTCTGTCATTAACCCTTAGTATTCTTGCAGAGAGCAGACTTTCCCCTCAGTTAATATGCAGATGAGTTTGTGCTTCATAACTGACAGTTCCGAATTGAATTAGTGCAACATATCTGTTGTGTACCTGGAACTAGCACAGAGACACAGCTCATTCTTGTCCTGACACTTTTCACAGAAAAACTTATGCTGAAAGTATTCCCTAAATGGGGAATCGAGATAAGGAAGTTGTCTTCTTATGCTTCTCTGTATTCAGTGGAGAAGCAACCTTCACTTACGGAAGCTTTTCATTCAGCAATATCAAAAACTTCATACTCTGAACTTGTTTCCCCTTAAGCATATTAATAAGAAATATAATTAAAACATTCTATATAGTGATGAGAACCCTATACAAAAATTTTGAGTAATACAGAGAATAGCAGGAACCCTTTGGCAAAAAACTATCAAGAATGTTGTGATTTGAATCAAGATTTGAAGAGCTAATACTACTTTTTCTTTCAAGGTAACTGCAATACATTCTTCACAAGTTTTGCAGGGTTGAAATGTTACACATAGTGTGCTAAGAGACTCTCAATTTAAAAATAACAGTAAACCAAATAAAGTGAAATAATTTTTAATTCCCTTTTTAAATGTGCATTTGAATTTCATACAGATCTGTAAGGCACTCTTCATTGGTAAAGAAAATTAAACATTCTTTTCCAAATAAAGACAGTTACAAGGCAATGGTATGTGCATAAAATATAAACTTATCTGTAACTGATAAGCAATGAAATATGAATGTTCAGATTTTGAATGCTTTTCTGTGTAATGTCACTTCTGTATCATGACTCTATTCAGAGTAAATATTGGCACTGTAAATGATTTCTCGTTGGGGTTAGGGGTTGTATTCTCTTCATATCCCAGTAAAAAATAAACTCTTTAATAAATAAATATATAAAATAAATATATGCTATCTGGAAATGTATAAATAGGTCCATCCTGGAGAAAAGTTCCAGCTCTAAATACGATGTATTGACATCTAACGTCCATCACTAAAGCGGAGCCAGTAAAACTTCATATGCAGTTCTCAGGATTTATTACTATTTTACAGTACATTTCTTTCTGTTTCTTCCTGCCGTTGTGTCATTCATAGGATGTAGGCAGTTCTTTGCTAATCTACAGACCACAGATAATCCAGACAAAATTTCCAAGAGTTTGTTATTTTTAAAAAAGTCACACTTCCCTCTGGTTACTGGCTACCAAACAAATCACAAGTTTCAAGGAGGTTGGTCCACTCTCAGCTTTAAGGTTTTGTCTCCTAAATCCAAAGGTTAGAAAACAGAGGTTTGCCTTCACAAAGTAGCTTCTTTGCATCCAACATCCTAGACCTCTGCAGGTTCCTCATGCTCGCATTGCCAGGAAAGCAGGGGCAGCAGCTCCAGTTTGGGTCTTTTCCAAAGCTGCTTCCTTCTTCAGCTGTATCCTAACACATCTTTATACAGTTCTGGAACTCTCTCAGGATCCACAGGCCGGGGCAAGAAATGTGTGAATTTCTGGTGTCTTTTGGACCTTGTCCCATCTCTGGGAGTACCATCTTTGTTAAGTGCTACAAAGTATCGCCGCCCTGAATCTTCATGTTTGTACACATTGGATGAGTAAGTGTTGTACCAGTTTTCCTCAAACTGTTCCCTGAAGATGCATTCAGAAGTTAGTTTCTCCTGCAGAAAGAAAGAGCAAAGAAAAATAAGTTAAGCTGTCACTAGATATCTGAAGACATGAAAAAACATATGATAAAAATAAAATAAACAAAATGCTTAAGGCTTTGTGTAGCCTTACTGTTCATTTAACTGTCAACAAACCAAATGCAAGGAGATTATGTGGACCTGACATCAAGTTTGGAAACCTAGACCTATAAGTATACAATTTTAGATTTAAACATGAGTTAGATAACACTCACTTAAGAAAGCATTACTTATTTATTATTTAATTAAAATTCATCAGACTTCCAGGAACTATATTATGTAGAGTTCTGTCTCACTACTATTCTAGAAATGAGATTTGGTGGAGGGACTCGGGTACACTATAACATATCAGGAAGGTAGGTATTTCCATATGTTCTTTGTGATGTGCATCACTTCTCACATTTTCAACTGGAATAACCACAACCAAAGTGGAGAAACAGAATATTTTCTCTCAAGATGTTTTAAAACCTGAAAAGAATAGAGTAGGACTGATAGTATTGTAAAAATCTATTTTGTTGAAGTTATTTAACAGATGCAAATCAACTGTCACGAGTACAAGCTTATTTTCATTCTTAAACACAAATATTCCAGTTGGGATCTAAGATATTGCCAGTACTCTTGCACCATTCAGATTTTTCAAATAACAGTGGTACTTCTTTGTGACATATGCTATTATGCTCTTTTCCCCAGCATTTGCAACAATGCTGTCATGTTGTAAACTTGGTACCTGGAAGCACCACCTGATGATTTTTAAAGGAGCATTTAACTATACATAAAGTAAGCCAGGTACTATATTAATTGTCGTTTATTTGTTCAAACTATCCTTCTAACTTTTTTCCAGTTGCATTTTATGTTTTTGATGAGAGAGTATGCACTATGATACATTTACAGAATTCATAAAATAAAATTAGATAGTACATAATGTAAATGTTGTTCCAATAACTGATTTAATTTACCTATTTTTGTCATTATTTAAGAGGAATATCTCTTTTCAGTTCTCTTCATTTAGGATAGAGAAACTTTTCCCATCAAATCTTTAGTATCCAAAGATACTGTATACTTCAAAAATATGCTACACATTTGAACAGGAAAAAACGTTGTGTTTTGAAAGCTGAGATGCTAGTTTCTTGAGGAGTTTGTATAGTGTTAAGAAGTGAATCAAAACCTCAAGATGTATGAGCTGACATGGATGTGATACTTACAGAGCCATAGAGTTCTCCTTTCTCATTCATTCCAAGGTAAAGGCCACTGTCCACGCCTCTAATACTGACCAGTCCCACTGCCACACTGATGAATTCAAGGATACCTGGAAGAAAAAAAAAAGGATTGCTTTAATTCATTTCGTAAGCACACAATACATACCGTCCAAAAACACAATTGAAAACAAGAAAATGTACATACTATAATAAATGTGGTCTACTTTCTCTGAAATTTCAAATACTATATGGAAATGCACTCAACATTCACAGGAAAGCAGTTCGAGAAGCCTCATCTAGGAACACGAATCCTACATTATTTTAGAAACTTTTTTTTAATGTTGAATATAAAAGGATTTTATTCAGCACAAGGCTAAAGCCATCAGTACTCTGCTGTTGGAATCTAGAATGATTGTACACTATTTGCTAAACTGCCTATTCAAACACTGGAAGATAGGATTGAATTACCTGAAATCATACTTTACTTCTATAGAGTTATCTTAAAAAAACACATCCATTATTAGATCATTTGAATGGAAATCAAAGTACAGATGGGAATTTCATATCTACCCACAGAAAAAAACCCCGTATTTGCCAAACATCTTATCTAGCATATGGGCCCACACCTCTTGACACAACTTGCTGTCTTCAGTACAGGCTTTTTAAGTATATGAAATGTGCTGCTTTTTTTTTGCTACTGTTTGGATTACAACATTATTTATATTACATTTGCCCAAAAATGTAATATATATTAATAAAATAAAGTATTTGAGAGATGAGGTACTATTTGAAGCCTGAATTTGGCAAGGGTAAGCCAACATAACCAATTGATATGCACAGATTACAGTATATACAAAACATGAAAGAAAGGGAACGTGTGAACTGGCTTTTTGGAAGTTGTTAACAATGTAAACAAAGCCTCAAAAAGAAGTTGTGCTAGAATCATGCCCAAGATTTTGCTGTTCAGCAATTAAACCACAAAACATTAAAAAAAGATCTGAATCTAAGGTAAGTAATTTTAAATAAGGCATTTGATTATGACTTTTTGTCTACTTACTATTTACGATTTCAGGACAATTTTCACTCTCAGACAAATGGACTGTCCAGACTATGCAATAATTTAAAATGTTTTGAATTTTAATTCAACTTTGGCAGGTTTCTTAGTTATATTAAAAACCACAAGAAAATAATAAATCCTTTGCAAAGAGTAAGCATTAAAAACTCTTATCACACATAAATCATCCTAGTTTTTCACTTGCTAAAGCAAGAAGTCCCATAAAGCAGGTGGAGGTATTTTGTCTTTCTGATATCACTTTCAAAGCCACCCTTTTCCAAAACTATAATAAGCAGGTGATACAACCCACAAAGAAACCAGATCAGACAAACTTACTGAGAATAGCAGTAGAATAAAGGTAGTACAACACTAAAAAGCCCAGTAAATGTTAGATCTGGGGCTAACTTGATTTTCCTTTTAAAGCAAAGATTTACTTCATGTTTACAAGCTGTAGGAAAACTTCCTTCTGAGAAGATCTGTTTGACTACCGTTTTTCTACTTCTTAGAACATCCATGTGTTATAAAAGCAATTAAGAGCCATTTCAGCAGATTGTTTTGACTATGGGGAGTATGTTAGGAAACTCTTTAATCACCTTTTTAGGACTGCTAAATCAATACACACCAAAAGTCACGTGTAGTTGACAAAAGGAGGTTTGTTCAGATGTCCAGCTTCTACAACTAATATTTAGGTTTTACTCTCATATCTCAGGAAGCATTTACTTTTGAGGGTTGTCTTCACCTCTTTTGGGTTTATTGACAGAGAAACCTGACTGGGAAGCATTTTAAGCATTTGAGCAAAGAGGCATTTTAGGCTCCTCAGCTTCAACGTTCAGTCCTGTGAATGCAGCCTAAGTATCAGCCTGCCCAGGTCTGTGACCTATACTATTCTACAAAGACTCAAGAAGCTCGACACCTATAGCGAATAGAAAAAGGATCGGCCTGACTCGCGACTTTTCCCACTCCACTAAACCTGCAAGCACATGCATGTGCTTATAGATCCCCAGCATAGGCTGAGCAAAGAATACATGCCCATCTCCTGGCTCTCATGGGATGTGCAACCCTCCCTCGCTACCTTGCCCTTGTGCAAACCCCATGGGCTAATGCCAAAGGGGTACTAATGCCGGTACTGAGGGCTCATCCACCTGCCTCAGCATCACCAGTATCACACCTCTCTCCCAAGAGCACGACTGCTCACGTCCAGGTACACAGAGACTCGTTTACACGCAGACACAAACACACAAACCAGCACCCGCACGGACACGCACCCGCGTGTGGTAGCGCGCACACACACGCACACGCCGGGGCCATATCGCCTACCGAAGAGACTGTGGTCCTGGCGGGTGCCGCGCACGCTGCCGTCGGGCAGGATCTGCAGGTGGAAGCCGGTGCGGCAGTACAGCTGCCGCCGCCGCAGGATGCCCTGCAAGTGCGCCAGGTCCGCCGCCGCCGCCGCTGCCGCCGCTGCCGCGCCGCCGCGGGCCGCCCGCTCCGCCGGGGCGCGCCGGTCCCCGAGCAGCGCCGGGCGCTCCCCGGCGGGCGGCAGCAAGAAGTGGGCACCCACCGGCTGCCCCAGGCCGTCCAGGCCGCCCAGGAAGCCGCCCACCTCGGCCAGCGGAGCCATGGGGGCGCGGGGCGAGCGGGCTAGGGCGCGGCGGCGGCGGAGAGCGGCTGCCGGCCTCTCCCGGTGGGCATGTGGGGGTGCGCCGCGGAGCCCCAAGCATGGGGAGCCGGCAGGGCCGAGCGGAGCCGAGCCGTGCTGAGCTGAGCCAAGCTAAGCCGAGCCGAGCTGAGCCGAGCTGGTGCGAGCCAGGCAGCGGGGTGCTGTTCATACGCCCCGCGCGCGTGTATATATGTACGGCGGTCCCCTGACATATGCTAATGAAGGCGCTGCGGGGAGGCCGCGTTTGAAATTGTAAACCAGCTCCAACTCCGCTCGCACCTTCCTCTGATCTGCGCTGACGGCGGGGAGGGGGCTCCGGGCGCGCCCCCGGCGCGCAGCCGGGCACTGACGGGCGCGCACACGCGCGGCGCGGGCGCGGCCCCGGCGCGGAGCGGGCAGCGGGGGGCGGGCGGGAGCGGGTCCCGGGCGGGAGCTGGCGGAGCATTACGTGGACAGGTGCAAGGAGAGGCAGGAGGGAAGAAGGAGAAAGGGCGTTACCTGAGGGTTAGACCTGCCCAGACACACATGAAAGAAAAAAAACAAAGATCTGACAGTTTTACTCCTTGTTTCTAAAACGCTAATAAAATGTACATGCATTACCCTTCCCTTTTATCACTTCAACTACAAGGACGGGGATTTCTAAAGAAATTGGCATAGTCAAGGAAGGTGTTTTCCCCTTTGCAAATTCTCCCTCACGTTTAATTTATCATTAATGTGACATGAAACTGATCTATAGCGTTTGGGTATTGACAGGAGGTCTTAAAAACATAAATGGGCAACTCATTGCTTGCAATAAATATTTTCAAAACTTGCCGAGAAAAAGAAAGAAAGATTGAGAGGTGGCTCATCTAATCCATCTTCTTTGGGGTTTTGCATCCGGCCCATAGCCAAAGTCTGGGAACATCACAAATTAGCAATATCATCTACTGAAAGTTCCCTGCTGTCTTTCCACAGCGTTTTGAAACAGTTTGGCACTTTGCTGTCCTGTTCGAGATGAGCATATGCTTTTTTTTTATCCCCAAATTAGAATAGTTCATGCATATAAATGCATTGGTGGAACACATGCTCATTCATTATCAGCAATGGTAAAACAACGTTATATTAAATCTAAGAGCTTAACTTTTGCTATCTTTCCTGTTTTTTCTGTAAGGTCTAATGAATTTTAGGGCTGAAATGACATGACCCATCTTAGCATTTAAGAACGCAATGCAGTTCCTTGCCTATGTTAAAACACAGTATTAGAGTATAAAATGCAAAGATCTTTCATAGTTAATTCTTTCAAAAGTTCAAGAGAATCACTTGGCAGTTTAAGGTTTCATTTAAACAAAAAAGTTGCACAGAATCATAAGAGATTAGTTCTCCCATCTTGCTTCGTGGTCTTTTCAGTCACAGTCTAAATCTGAGAGATCAAATGGATTTGATTGCTTACCTTTATTTGCTACGGAGAGTATAGGGCTAATTAATTGGCAGGTGCTTTAAAGCAGGTAATGCTACACCTTTTCATCACTGCAGTCCTAAGTACTGCCCCTGTGTGCACCTGAATTATAAAAAGGCTGCTTTAAAGCAAGTGATTTACTGTGGAAGGATTTAAAACTGAAAAAATTAATGCTAAATACAATGATCAGATAAATCACCTCAGAAGAGAGCACAGGCAGACCTGCTCTGAAGGCAGTTACAGATAGATGTTATATTATTTTACCTTTTAGATAACAGGAGCCTGTCATGTGGTGGGACCCAAAAATCCACCATAATCGAGATTTCAAAGCACATCTGTGTAAACATTATCACATCAGTGTAAAACATCAACCAATGAGCTTTCTCTTTGAAGCAAATCTACTTAATTGTAGTGCTAAATCAAAGAAATAGATCAAAGCTGAATAATCTATATGGCACCTATTTCTCAAGTAGCCTGTACACTGATTACTCAAATATACCTAAAACGTTTGAAACACACATCAAGTATTTTTATTGACATGACTGGCAGGTCAAGATGAAACTGCTCATCACAGCTGCTGAGTTGCAGTACATGCACTAGGATGGTACAGCTGAATGGAGGAGGTATATTCTTCTCAGCCTAAAGATGCTCCTGTACAGGTACTGTTCCTGGGTCCAAGAAGAACCTTCGAGTCCTACAAACAGTATAGGGGTTTTCTGGTCAGATGGCACCACTGTCTCCAGTAGAGAAGGATGGCTTTTTTAAAAAAAAAAATCTTCAGCCATCACACATTGAAAGACCCTTATGGCTAAATCTTTCCTGTTATATAATGGAAACATTTAAAGTAGAGTGGAATACACAACATCGATCTTTTCCGAGTGGAGTCTTTAATGTCTGGGCACTAAACCGGTTATGCTGTTCTATAAAGTACCAGAAAAGAAACAAAAAGATAAGATTTTTTTTGTGTGTTTGCACTAGTCATGTGACAGGAAAAGATAACGCTAAAGATTTTTTTTTTGCACCTTCTGAGACTCTACCATGGGAAGTTAAATAATTTGGAAGAGAGTTTTTACAAGAGTACATAATTCAACTTAAAGTATACAGTACAATCTAATCAACTCTACATATACTTCCTAGAGACGGCACTTTCAATGTCATTGAACAAATACATATGTGGTTGAGTTTTTATTTCCATAGCAAGTAGTTCTGGCTTCTAAAGACAATATAATTACTGTATATTTACCAAGAATAGCATGTTGTCATAAGCAAAATCTGGTGCCTACAAAGGGAGTGGACAAAGCAAGGGACTGCAATCTTTCACAGATAGTCTATAGATAGATAGATAGATAGAAAGAGAGAGATATCTATGTATCTATAAAGATCCTGGTTGGTATAAAACTGTATGTCCTGCAATTTATTGCACCTTTATTAATTTTAGAACTCCCTTACAACACTGCTGTGCCAGCCATAAATTTTTAATGACATAATAAAATACTGTGAGGGTTCATGAATACATGAGAAAGAAAACACTTGGCAGAACAAAAACCATGAAGTATAACATAAAAGGGTATGTCCAGCTACAGATACCTGGGTATCACGGTCAGTTCAAGATTCTTCCTTGATTTGGACAAGAAAACATGGTTGGCTGCTTTCAACAAGGCAAGCAAAACATGCAGAAGTTGCAAGTGCCTTTCTGAGCACTGCAAATCTGAGTGAAACAAGGTGTATTTTTGCGCAGAATTTACTAGAAAGAACAGAACCTTTTCCAAGGCTCCATGTACAAATCAGGTCATGATGATCAAAAGCTTTTAAAATGCAATACACGTAGATTTAAAAAACATTCACAACTTTCTCTTCCGAACAGATACAGTTGCAGGTATGTATGCATACATGTATATATAAGTATATCTACCTATTTGCAAAAACTCAAATGAGAGAAAAACTATGCTGAAAAAAATTCTTTTCCTATGGAAAGCGAGTTCTGCATTTCTTACACCTTCATTTCTTTTATTTCTTTAAATTAAATCAGAAATTCATAGGGCTTTTTAAGATTCTTGATTTTTTGTCCATGTTTTCACGGACACACATGAATAAACTCCTGTATAAGCAGAATGCGATGGAGAAGCTAGGTAGCAAGCACACATTTACATGGTTACATCCAGTGAGAATAGATCGTTTCCATATATCAACATTCAAATGCCTCCTTTGGCAGCTTTTTTATTAGTTCTCTAAGTGAATCATTGGATTAAAACCACCTTGATTTATTTAAATTACATGCTTTCTGAATCTGTGCATAGAAGATGTGCAGGCAGCTTATGTTTTTTGACTTGCTGCACAAATAAATTTTGCTCTTGTTCCTGAGCAAACAGCTCACCAGGGAAGTTCTAATATATCCAGGTGTAAGTAGCTGCAGATGTGTATTGGATTTTTTGAAGTGAAAAAAATTTAGCCTAAAGGTGTTATTGAAAAGTCATTAAAATGTGTCTTACCAATTTCAGGGAAACAATGTGAACAGGGAGATAAATCATGGTTCATGTCCACACTTTACATGATTGATGAGCTCCTAATAGCTTTACTTTGGGACACTACATTGACCAAAAGTGGTTTCTTTCCCAGCCAAACAGAAAAAGTAGGCTATTTGAAAAAGGTAATGGTATTGGTGAATGATGTCTCCTAATGAGGCAGCTAGAACTGAAAAGATTTGAGACACATTCTACAGAATTTTACAGACTAGATGGTTAGTCATGTAACTGCAGGAAAAGTACTCGAGTTTCAGTCATATTAAGCATCTGAAACTATTATTGCCTTGACACCTACATATTGGCTTTTAGTCATTTAGTACACAGATATAACTCAGATTTGGAGACGACTTTTGACTGGGAATCATACATACAAAGAAAGTACTATAAAATAAAGCTTAGATAAAAAAAATAAAAAAAAAGTTTTTGGCAGATGGGAATAATGAAGTCAAGGGAATTACTTGAGGGATGAATTTGCTTACAGTATTCTAAAATATTGAAAGAAATGCAGTAAACCTGTCATTCAGCCCAGATACCTGCCTTTCCAGCTGTAGCTCTGAGGAAATTCAACCATGGCCATGCTTAGAGTTGCATGATCTGACAGACTGTCTGTTGACAAACATGGCCACACTTTTCCCTTGATACAGTATCACTGTGTCACTGAAATGTTTTTTAGAATATGAAAATGCACAAGAGTGTCTTAAAGCTATTGAAATGAGTTATGGTTTGTGTATTTTCCAAAATCTTTTTCATAATAATATACAAAGCCATCAAAGACTTAGGGGGGGAAAAAGGATAATAGGCTGAAACTTGGGAAAAAAGTTATGTACAAAAGAAAAAGACTGAGGCTCTACCTGGCCATTGCAAAAAAATGCCATACAGTGTGCTATGTCTTGAAGTGTTTGTTTGCAGCTTATGAAGTTTCAAGGAAACCTAGGTGGTGATGCAGGTTGCACCATGGAAGAATGGCCTAATATGAAATGCCTGACGAAGTGTATCGTCCATCAGCACCAGGTAGGGACAAAAGACCACGCTCATCTTTCACCACTGGTCTTTAACTACTGCTTGGTTATGCTAAGGAGGCTACCTGCCACCAAGAGTATTTATCAGAGGAGAGGCTGCCGACATGGCAAAGATACATCTGCTGCGTCGTGCGGCACACTCCCTTGGGAGCACGGCCCTGGAATCACGCGGTCAGGCTCTAGAGCACGTTACCGAGGACCCACGGCACACCCGCCAGCTCTGCCCGCAGTCGCGGCAGTTCCCACGCATCCCCTTTCCCAGGCACTTTGGCTTGAACTGGGCGGATCCTGGGTCGTGCCCGTTCTTCGTGTTTGGTCTGACCACCTCGTATCTCCACTAACTTGGCGGCGGCCCGCCAGTGGCACTGCACATCCCGCCGCGCACTGCTGCCTATCCCTGGAGCCGGCAGCCGGATCCCGGCGCGGTGCCCGCGGGGCGCCCGGTGGCGCGGGCGGGGCGGGGCCTGCCGGGGCCGCTCGGTTCCCCTCCCCTTGCCCGCTCTCGCGAGGCTTCTGCCGGCACCGGGGGCTCGGAGCGCCCGGCGCTGGGGCGGAGGGGGCCATGGCCGCCCTGCGCTCCCTCCTGCGGTGGCGCCGCCGCCTGGGGCTCGCGCCCGGCGCTCCGCCGGCGCGGCGGCTGTGGGGCGGCGACGGGGTCGGGCCGGCGGGGCCGCGGCGGTGGCGGCGGGAGCTGGGCTTGGCGGCAGCGGGGGCGGCTCTCGCCGGGTACGCAGGGTACCAGCTGTCCGAGCGCCGGCGGGAGCCCTCCCGGGAGCCGGCAGGGGCCCGGGCGCTGCTCCCTATCCCCGTGGCGGCCGCTGCCAAGGAGACGGTAGGTGTGTGCGCGTCCTTTCGCAGCGGGACCGTGTCTGCCAGGGGCGGCCGGCCGGGGGGGCGCTTCCCGGGCTGTGGCGCAGAGGTGACCCTGCGTGGGGCCGGCCCGGGGCCAGGAGGCGAGGCAGGGCCCCGGGAGGAGCTGTGACCCCTCGGGAGAGACGGGCTGTCACCGGAGCGCGGCGGGTAGCGGGCACTGACGCGCCTTGGCTGCGCCTCGTCTCTGGTGCTGTCCGAACCTTTCTTTAATAGAGAGTGCCGGTTTGCAAATGGAGCAGCTCAAAACCTGAGTTCAGCTTCTTTATACTTAGGACAGTTATCGATTTAGTATAAAATTTCCTGTAGAGTGAAAGGTTTACGCAGAGCTGCGTACAAAGTGACAGCATTATGACAAACAACGCTTCAGCTGAACTAGTTCAGAGAAAACACAGGTTGAGTAACCAGGGGTGACAAGAAACAGTTGGAGTTTACCTGGAAAATGAAGTGATAAGGGAGATACTCCGCACCGTGACATGCGTAACATGTGGTAATGATAGGGGTGGGGTTTTTTTCATTTAAAAATGTCAAGAGATGTGATTAGGCAGTTTGTCAGTATGGGATCTGCTAAGACTGGAAATCAGTGGTGCAAATGGCCTGCTTTCTGTATACCAAGTTTATTTTAAACTGTCTTTGGGAGCAGGGTCTACATTTTTGCAGCAGAGGCCTTGGTCTTAAGAATGAATGTTATCAGCCCTTTTGCCCTGTGTCATTAGCTGAAATGCAGATTCTGTCGGCAGCATCCTTTATGAAAGGAAGTTGAGCCAGGTGGTTTTGATTATTCATGTACTTGTTTCTTGAGTGTGTTACTGTGGCATAGAGGACTGAAGACAAACTCCTCCAGGTTTTCATACTGTTTTGATTTGACAGAACTTAACACTGTTTTACTTGGCTAGTCTTAACTCTCAGTCTTTTTTCAGGGGAAATATGGCTCCTGCACCCTAGAAAAGTCAATTCATTTAGTCGGATGTATAATTATGAATTTTCAGATACATCACTGTAAAAGGACTGAGGTTACAAATTTAGAATTAAGGTTATATTTTAATTCATGTAAAATTAAAAAATATGTAAAATGTATTTTCTATGTATACATGGGCTATTTTTTTGAAGACAAACACAGTTTTAAAGACAAACACCATGGTCTTATGTGGAAAACAGCTGTGAAACTTTTGGTCTGAGGTAGTGGGTTCCTGTGGTTTTTTTATTAGTGACTCTCGTGCTGCAAAAGGCTTGTATGGCAGTGGGGAAAGACCATAGTTTGAAAGCAGATCTAGATGGTGAACTACCAAGAGTAGTTTGACCATGAACTCTATCTGTGATCCGTTTATAATTGCCTTCTAGACCTATGATGAGCACCAACTCTCTCACTACAGATTTCTGAAACATCTCCAGAGATGGAAAAAAGGATGTGAATACTGTTCAAATTGCATTGAATGGTATTCATGGTAGTGACAATAACTTTTTTAATTCCTAATTTTAAGGGCTGAGCTTGTAACCTTAATAGAGTTTAACAGTTTAAAAAGCATAATAATGTTGGAAGTAGAAGATTCTGTTGTGAAAAATCATAAAAGTGTCAATGTTATTAGGATCAAGGCTGGAGCTCTTGGATATACTGCAGAGTGTGTTTAGACTAATGGCTGGAGGATGATAATCTGCAGCTTCTGTATAGATGAGTTTGATGGAACTGTGGTGCATGTTTTGTTAGGAGATTTTTACAATTCTGTCAAGTACTGACCAACAACGAATGACGAGGGTCAAGTATCTTGGGATTCTTTCTAGCTGCTTTTGGATGTTTCTTCTTTATTCCTGATGCATAAAGTCTGACACTGTTTTCTGGGGCTTTCGAGGTTTGTCCCTCCCTCACTTTCCCATTTCCCTAGTTCCCCCATCTCATTTCCTATCTCAGTCTGTGTTTCATTACACCAAAGCAAATAATGCAACAGCTTTTTTTTTTCTCCTCTATCCAAGCCACACTTTTCTGTTTCATCCTAATATTTCCACTTGTGTGTTTCTTCCTTATTCTTCCCTCTAGCAGCGTGCTTTTCCCAAATGCATTTGCTTAGACCACTGGAAGCAAGAAGTAGCTGGTATCTCTGCTGTCAGTGTCTTGGTAGAGAGATCTACAGCAGCTAGCTGGTGAAAGCAGTTACACTGTTGGTTTCTTGCATCACCCCTGGGGGACAGAATAACCTCTAAAAAAAAAACCTCAGTCCTGACACTAAAGTGACCAACCCCTGCAAGACCTGAAACCTTTAAATCTTTAAAACATAGACAGCCATAATGTATGGACTTGTATAAACATAGACTTGTCAGAGAGTCTTAAAAATTTTTAAGTGTTCTAATGTGGGAAAAAGGAATCTATCTCCTCCCACAGTTTTTTGTGTTCATTCAAAAAAAAATTGTTCTGAAACAGCAACTGAGAATGGATAATTTCATTTTTAATGGTTAACACAAAGTAAGTTTATAACTGAAAACAGTATCACAAAAAGTGATATTCAGTAAAAAAGTAAAATATTTAGATACTCAGAGTGTTTGCAAGGATTCAAGATAGCTGCAGCTGTCTCATCTATAACGTTGGGGTTTAACCTTGGCTAGCAGGCACCACACAGCCACTTGCTGACCCTCCCACAGTGGGATGGCAGGGAGAGCTGGTAGTGTAAAAGTGAGAAAACTAATGCGTTCAGATAAAGACATTTAACAGGCAGAGCAAAAGCCACACAAGCGAACCAAAATAAGGAATTCATTCACTGCTTCCCATGGGCAGGAAGGTGTTCAGCCATCCCCAGGAAAACAGGGCTCCATTACACATAATGGTGACTTGAGAAGACAAATGCCATCACTCCGAATGTGTGTGTGTCCATTTCCTCTTTCTTCCCCAAAGCTTTTATTACCGAGCACAATTACACTGTATGGAATCTTTCTTTGGTGAGTTGGGGTCAGCTGTCCCAGCTGTGTCCCCTCCCAGCTTCTTGTGCCTCCCCAGTTATCTTGCTGGTGGGACAGTGTGAGAAGCAGAATGAGCCTTGACAATGTGCCAGTGCTGCTCAGCAATAGCTGAGATATCTCTATGTTATCTACACTGTTTTGGTCACAAATCCAAAACATAACACCACACCAACTACTGTAAAGAAAGCCAAACTAAGTACAATATCTAGTCTTGAATTCCCATGTGTCTCTCTTGTTTCTTCAGAAGAATTTCTGTAAAAGTTTAATAAGTGAAATGGCCTTCTTGTTTCATCTAGGCAGCTCCAGCAGACAGCAGAACAGTTTTCTGATACCACCAAATACTAAAAAATGACAGTTAACCTAGTTTACATCTTGACTGTCAAAGAACAACTTTCTTTTCTGGCAGGTCACCTGCTTCCAGGTAATTTTCATATGGCTTGTGAAAGTATTCTGAGAGTTTACTGGTCCCAGTTAGTATCACTACGGTTGACTTTTCATGAGATTCTGTTACTGAGTCGAAATAATGCTTGGCAGTAATGATGGCATATTTAAGAATATAAGATTATCATATATATCTTGCTAGTTAGTTGCTTTGTCCTACTGCTGTCATCTAGGATTTATGGAACAAGTAAATTTTAAAGGGGCTTTTAGATTCCAAGAGTAATAGTGATGATTACACAGATGTTGATGCGACACTTTCTTGGCCAGTTCAGAAATTAGGCACACCATTTAACTGGAAAAAAAATGTGTTTGAGACTCGTAGAGAAACAATGTGTCAAAATGGTCTGCACATCTGTCCCCATGTTCAATGAGGCTTTTACAGTATGAAACCTGATGAGCAATAGATTTGTGAATTTATGTACAGATGAGTGAGAAGATGCTTTTTCTTAGAAGTCAAGTAAGCTATGATATGCATCACCAATATGGGGTGAGTGGTGTGGCAGGCATTTTGATCAGACAAAGATCATGTGATCAATGAAAAAGTATACTTGCTTGATCGAGCATATCATTGGAGGTGTTCTGGTGGAGAGTAAAATTTGTTACAGAAGCAGCATGAAGCTAAGCTCCCTACAGGATTACCTTTTCCCAGATGCTTTCTGAGAATAATTCCAGTCATGACAGCTTCATATGTGATTACCTTGAGTGAAATCTTGTACGCTATAATAAAGCAGCAGCTTTAATTCCAAGACTGCTGCCTCAGAATCAAAGTAAAATTCTGCACTGGGAGGTGCTGGTTTTGTGTCTGAAGGTTTTGGTGAAGACTGGAAGAACTCTGCTGGCTGACAGCTCCTTTAAAGTCTAGGAGATGCTTATGCAGAGCAAGAATCTCTTTGAATGAACTGTTATTTTGATACAGGTTCTCTGTACTGGTAACTGAGAATGATATTGACCCAAGAAGACCCTTGATCTAACATACTGCTTATGAAGTATTTACCTTGTTGGAACAGCTGTGTATCATGTTTCCTTCAAAGAAATATAACAATTTTCTAAAAACATAATCCAGTGCCAGAGTTCCAGTTTCTTACCTCCAGAAGTCCGGTGTTATTAGTAAAACTTAGTAAAATGGTCTTGGCAGTACACATGATGCCTCTTGCATTCCTAAGAGATCTTTTTTGTAGTCATGTTGTCATTGCGTAAAGGTAGTGAACTCCAGGCCTCTATTTATTTTTAGGAGTTGGTCTCTAAGAGTAATTTCCTTTAGAGGTAATTTAGGTATTAAAAGGGAGGCAGGGAGAGACAGACATGGAATGTGTACTTTATCACATTTCTTGAAGGCGCATTGATTTCCAGGAGAAGGAAGCTGCATACTTCGGAGGTTTCCAGAGGGTTTTTCCTCGTACCTCAGCAGTACTGTCAAATTCCCTTTTTGTGAAAATACTCAAAAGGTCAAGTTTATTTGTAGCAGCACATTTCTAAGTGCATTATGTCATGTATTTCCATCTCCATGAAATGAAGAACAAAACTTTTAACTCCAAAAAGCAAGGCAAACTTCCCTAGGAAAGAGACTCTCCTGCC